GTACTGTTCGGCGTAGAACTGGTTCCTGAAACTATTTTCATTTAAATTTAACTTAAGGATCTTTCAGTGAGACTTGGAAGCACTCAATTTGGATTTTTCTAGAATTAATTATGAATTTTCAAAGTTGAGCAAAAATTCTGGAAATTCTGCGTGAACAGTACCCGCGAAGCAAAATTTCCAGATTTGGTATTCTTGAATCTAAGGCCATCTAAAGTGGTCCTAATTGACAAGAAATGGATCTTAAGGATGGGAAATGATAAGATTTATGTTAGAAAAGTGGAAAGAAAACCCTAAGACTAAGAGAAAGGGTTGAGGTTCAAGAAAGCTAGTCTTGAACTTTATGTAATCTAGTGGTCCTAATGGTTTGTATGATCAATGTGACTATGTTTAGGACCTTTGGAACATCCAAGAGGATGTTTGGTGATGTTGACGGAATGTCCACATGGTTGGAAAGACAAGGAAACCAAAGGAAAGCAAGGGGAAGCCATGTTACAAGGTAGTGAACTTACCTATACTGTGTGCTTGATATGTATGCTTGCATGATGTGATTGTGTTGCCATGATGTGACTAAGCTATGATGAAATGTTTGCAAAGTTATGTTTGCAAGTTTATGTTATGTTTTGCCTTGGCAATATGTTATGGAAGCATGAAATGCTTTAGCTTACTTTCCATGGCATTCATGTGTTAATGTTATAACATGTCATGCATGTGCATTATGTCTTGCATGCTTATGGGTAGTGTTTGCTACTGAGATTCTCCGAATCTCACCCCTCCCTAACCAACCATTTAGGTCAATCAATGATGGGCAATAATGGCATGAGAAGCAAGGAGAAGTAAGCGGAGATTATTCTTGTTAATGGATGAGACTGTTGATAAATGTATAATTCTACTATTTTGTGAATTATGTTATGGATGCCAATGATGCCATGTATTTAATTATAATATTTATGGCATGAATGAAAGTGTATGAGCATGAACGGGAAAGAGTAAGGCCATGTTATGTATGCCAAAGAAAGAAATAAAAGAATTAAAGAGATGTTAAGGGATAAAACGTAAGTCCTGGAGCAGTGAGTTTGTAGCTCCAGTTTGACCTATCAAACGAGTGAGTTAGGTCATAAGATTTGGCAAGCAAAGAGATCTGATGTTTCTATTTAAAATGAGGGGTAGTTTGCCCGATTCCGATAACCGAGCAGAAAGTTATGCCTTTCCAAAGTTAGGCAAAAATACAGTAAAATCCGAAAATGACCAAATGAACAGTAACTTTTTCAAAGGAAATTGAGCTCGAATTTCAAGGCAATCAGTTCAGAAAACTATTTTTCTCAAAATTTTATCCAAAGAGCTTTTGTAGAGAACTTGGAATCACTCAATTTCAATTTTTCTACAATTAGTTATGAATTTTCGAAGTTTGTCACATTTTAAGGTGACAATGAATAGTAACCCGTAAATGAAAATTTTCAAACTTGATTTTTCATCAATTGTAGCCTTCAAAGTGATTCCAAATGCTTCGCAAGGAAAGTTAATTGGTATAAACATAAGGTGTCAAATCTAAACACTTACCCGTTATGCATTCAATTTTTCTACTGCCCATAATTAATAAAATATCTTCTGGTGACTCATATGATGACTCATCACCCTCATAAATGAAGCACATAGGAAAGAAGAAGAGAATTCAAGTTGAACTTGTCTTCCTCAAAATATCTGAGATATTTTCTAACTTTGTCTCCTAATTAAGGGACATTAATTATTTAACATTTGACTGGAGCATTTTATTCCATCTTGAACTCTAAAAATTTATCTATTTATACCATAAAATTCATTTAATTCTGTAGAAAATCTATGAATTTTCTCAGATCATAACTTAGACCATAAGTATTTCTTTTTAAATTTCCCATAACAAACCCATAAACTGCAGTTCTGACCTTAAAAATGTTAAAGCCATTCTGCTGGCCTTCAAGGGTTGAGACTAATTTTATAAATTCTATAGCCTCTTAGATCATACATCCCCATTTTTATCATAACTTTCTGAGGTTTCCTTATGACCCAAACAATTAAATCTACCTTTACATTTCAAAATAAGCCATAAACTTATAAATTCCTTTTAAGGCAACTCAAGGGCATTTTTCGTCATTTCTCCCCATATGCAGGCCTTAAAATGTCATTTTCCATTTTCTGGAATTTTCTAGAATTTTTTGGGTATTACTTCCATTTTTACCCATTCCTGGCCCGAAACTTTCCAAAATTACAGTGTTGCCCTTGGTCAAGTAAACCTTATAAATCACCCTATTATGGCCTCTATCATAACCTTGGTCTAAACTAACCTCTTTTCTGATTTTTGGGCCTCAAGACTTCACCGGAGCCTCTATCTTTCTTTACATTTTAGTCCCTAGAACTTTCTCTATTTACAGTTTAGTCCCTAAAACCCTTCAACATTCCTTTTATATTTCTGGGACTCCTGCTCATAGGGATTTAGTAGCCTACCTATCTTAGGCTAATCTGTGTATTCTTAGGCCTAAAACTTGGGGTGTGACACTCTACTCATATGATCCGACCCAGATTGACCCCTCAAGCCCTTAGAAACCCTATTTTCGACCTAACACCCCATTCTATCATCTCCAACACCTCTATTCTCTAATCTTCTTGCCTCTCCACCTCCATCTTCTTCCCCATCCATTTTCTTCACCTTTCCTTCACTCCATCTCATTTCCTTCCATTCCCAGCTGCTATGGTTGACAGATTCACTCTAGTTGGAGTTTTTCTTGAAGCTATGGAGGGCTAGGGTTTATCAACTCTTGAAGATGGTGGAGTGGCATGAGTTTCCAGACTTCAAAGGGGAGTTTATTTTCAGTTTGCAATTTTTAGCTATGATTTATGGCTTTCTAGGTCTAGGAGTTGTAATTTCTTAGTTAGGAACTTGGGATTGATTCTATAATCATTGGTTAGTGATTAACTTCTGTAATTTGGATTGATTGATGTTGAACATTGTGCTTAAATATATGTAGTTGCATATATGCTTATTGTAACTCTCATGATTCTCTCCTATCTTGCATGGTTATGTTTCGGTACTGAGTTGATTGTGTGTTACATTAAGCCAATTACATGATCATTCCAAAATTACACATTAGGGAAGCTAAACAAAGTTTTCATTAATGAGTTCATTAATGTAAGCTTTGGACTCATTGAGTTAATGAGGTTCTTATTAAAAAAACCTAATGGATTTGTGAAACTCCCAATATTTTAAGTGAACTATGATTGCCATCAAAACCATTTTCAAGAGATTTCCTATCATTCATTTCCATTCCATCATCATTATCTTAAAACACCAAAAATATAGTATCTTAGGTTTGTTTTCATTGCATTTAGTTTAGGCTCCATTCATTTAAATCTTAAAAACCCAAAACCCCATTTCATTACATTGTATGGCATTTAGTCTAGCTTAGGTAATTAATAAAGGCTTCCAAAAGTGAAACGACCTGAGTTTGCACTGTACTGCATAGCTTGGATTTATTTTTGATTGAGAACCCCAAGGCGAACGACGAAAGGCTCTCATCACTGTGCTTCTCTAATTTGATCTTTGAGCAGGGCTGTAAACTGGGTTTTACCTCTATTTCCTTCTACTAACTGCATCTGATATAGAGGACCCCAATCTCTGAAATCCTCTACCAGCTTCTGCTCTCTGATCATCAGCGATGCTACCTGTACTGTCTTTCTGCTTAAGGCATCCGCGACTACATTTGCTTTGCCTGGATGGTACTTAATTTAAAAATCATAATCTTTGAGTAAGTCCATCCACCTTCATTGTCTCATATTCAACTCTTTCTGGTCATGGAGGTTTTTGAGGCTTTTGTGGTCACAAAAAAATTCTACGGTTGTTCCATACAGATAGTGTCTCCATATCCTCAGTCCATAAACTATCGCTGCCAACTCCAAGTCGTGGGTCGGGTACTTCTCCTCGTGAGATTTCAACTGGCGTGAGGTGTAGGATACTACCCGCCCTTACTGCATAAGCACACATCCCAGTCCTTGCTTGCTAGCATCTGTGTAAACCACATACGGTTGTGAAGGATCGGGAAGTATAAGTACGGGAGTAGAAGTCAGCTTCCTCTTCAGCTCCTGAAAACTAGCCTTACTCTTCTCATCCCACAAGAATGGCTGGTTCTTCCTGGTTAACTGGGTCAGTGGGAGAGCAATTCGAGAAAAGTCCTGGATGAATCTTCTGTAATACCCTGCTAGTCTGAGGAAACTTTTGATCTCAGTCACCGTCATAGGTCTCTTCCAGTTGAGTACTGCCTTAATCTTACTAGGGTCGACAGCCACTCCCTCTCGGGAAATCACATGGCCGAGAAATCAGACTTCCTGGAGCCAAAACTCACACTTACTAAGTTTAGCCACCAGCTGTTTCTCTTTCAGGGTATTTAGGACAATCCTCAAATGCTCCTCATGCTCTTCTAGAGACTTGGAGTACACTAAGATGTCATCAATGAATATGACCACAAATTGAACCAAGTAAGGACAAAAAATCCTATTATGTAGTCCATAAATATCGCAGGTGCATTCGTCAATCCGAACGGCATCACTAAGAATTCATAGTGCCTATATCGGGTTCTAAACGCAGTTTTAGGGACATCTTCAGACTTAATCTTGAGTTGGTGGTAGCCAGATCATAGATCAATCTTAGAGAATACACTGGCTTCAGCCAACTGGTCTAACAGATCATCTATCCTAGGGAGCGGATACTTGTTCTTAACTATGACTTTGTTCAACTCCTTGTAGTCTATGCACAGCCTTAGACTACCATCCTTTTTGTTGACAAACAACACTGGAGCACCCCAGGGCAACACACTTGGTCTAATAAAACCTTTTTCAAGTAACTCCTCTATCTGCTTCTTAAGTTCTGTCATTTCATTAGGAGCCATTCTATAAGGGGCCTTAGAAATTGGTCCTGCTCCAGGTACTATGTCAATTGTGAATTCTACTTCTCTGTCTGGGGGTAAACCTGCGATCTATATCGGAAACACTTTCGGAAACTCCCTAACCACTGGGATTTCTCCTATCCCTTCCTCAACTTCGACCTGCACCTAGAAGAAAACAAGGAATCCTTGACAGCCTTTTCGTAAGCATTTGCCCGTTTGGGCTTCCGTAATGAAGTTTAATCTAACTTCCAGATTCAACTCTAAATCCCTCGTAGGTAAGATTAAGGTTTTGTTCTTACAATCCATTAGGATATTGTGGGATGACAACCAATTGAATCCAATCACCACATCCATCTCATGGAAAGGCATGCATATCAAATCTATAGCAGTGCAATAGTGCTCATAACAAACTATACAGTTCAGGCACACATCATACGTAACTACCCTACTCTGCGTTGGGGTAGACACATGTATATCATATGGCAATGTATTTATACTCAAGCCAAGTCTTTCCGCACAGGCATATGAAATAAAAGAATGACTAACACCCAAATCAAACATTGCAATCACCAGAGAATTGTCAATCATGATCGTACCTTGGATCATCTTCGGAGACTTCTGGGCTTCTTCTCTTATGATGGCAAACACTCGGCCCTGGGTGTATGGTCTTGCCTGCTCGGTGTTCTGTGGGCACTCTCTTGAGAAATGTCCAGGTTTGCCACAGGTGTAGCAAACATTCTGCCCAGCCATGCACGGTCTGTCACTGTGATTCTTGCCACACTTAGGACACTCCTTGCCCTTCGGTGCTTTATCGCCCTTCTTGTTCTTGCGGTTATTCCAGGGTTGTTTCCTCTTCTTATTCATGTTAGACGAGGTAACACCTTGACCTCCTTGACCTCCCTTCTCTACTCCGGGAGTTGTCTTGACCATTAGGTGATGGTTGAAGCTGTTTTTCGTGATTCGGCAAGCTTCCACTGCTTTATTGAACTGTTCAAATTGTCTGGGAGCAATCATCTCCCTCAATGATTGTCACATTTGACCAATTTTCCTTAATTTTCAAGGTTCGGAAATATTTTTCCTTATTTACATTTGACCAATTTTCCTTAATTAGTCAATTTCCTATAATTGGCTTGGAAAATTACTGTAATTATTTTCCACCAAAATCCTTTGACTTCTCCTTATCATTTTTAATCCTCAATAATTTGAGAATATTTCTTATCTCTAATTATCATAATGCTGGATGTGACACAAAAGGTTAAAAGCAAGATTAGAGACACTGAGTATAGATTTTAAATTAATAGAAGTAAGTTCAACAGTGCCAGATCCAAGGACACGAGAATGGGAACCATCTGTAATGGTGATATTAGAAGGGTTGTCATGAGAATTATGATTGGAGAAGAGATGGCGGTTACCTATCATGTGGTTAGTAGCACTAGAGTCTATGATCCATTTGGAGGAAGAAGAGACAAGAGCAGTAGCCTCATTACCTGTTGCAATAGCAGTGCTCACGGGGGGATTTGTAGACTTTAATTGAGCATACCCAGCTGCCAAAATAGTAACCGTGTCATTGACTGTTGTGGCCACATGTGCAAAGTTTTTTCGTTGTTATTTGTTTTACAGCTTACAACACGTACGTTTAGTATGTCCTTGTTCCTTACAGTAGTAACATATCACTTCCTTAGGCTCTTGATTAGTACCCCCTGCTTTCGAACCACTACGATTACGGGGCCCTTGATTGTCATTATGGCCTCGACTGAGTAATGCACTAGTAGGTGTAATGGGAGCTGATGAAGGGTTCTGTTTAGTTCTCAATACACAAGAGAAAGCTTTTTCAAGAGAGGGGATCTCAGCTCCAGATAAAATTTGAGATCGAGTAGCCGCATACCGAGGTGGTAATGGAGTCAGAAAACTCATGGTGGCCATTTGCTTTCAGTGAGACATATTAACTTTCCTATCATTAGAAATAGGCATAAGAATATTGAGCTCTTCATAGGTGCTTTTAAAATCCATAAAGAAGGCTGTTAGGGAACGGTCACCCGGCATCTCGGACCGATGGAAAGATCTGCAAACCTTGTAAATATGAGAGATATTGTTCTTACCTGAGTATAAAAGTGCCAAATAATCCATTAGTTCTTTAACAAATTCACAATGAGTAATAGAAGGCATGATCTCACTATCAATAGAGTTACGAAGTTGTAATAGAAGCCGTGCATCATCTCTTAACCACGACTTGTGAGAGGTATCCTTTTCTTCGGGAGGATTGTTAGTCAAGTGATCTTCCTTCTCAATACGAGTGAAATGGACAGCATAAAAATCAGAACGCAGTATGAGAATATTTTAGACAGTCCTTTATCTACAAGTGAAATTTCTACTGCGTGACTCAGTAAGGTCAAGTACCCTGTCAGCAAAGCTAATTATTTTCATCTATGCTCCTCCAAAATGGTACCATATATGTACCTTTTATTGGCCAAAATTTTAAGAAGAAGATGTCCTTGTGATACAGGGTAAGTTAGGACCCGAAAAATATCCGATACGGTGCAAGATTGGCTTGATAAGTGGAGAAATAATTAAGGAAATATTTTTACACGAATTTTCCATTTATTTCCTCCCTATTTTAATGCCAAGTTGATGAATGGGCATGAAAGGAATTCTTCAAGTTGTTAGAAGAATCTAGAGTAATCAAGAAGAGTATAGAAGAACCTAGAGGGAACTAGAAATCTCTAGAAGCATCTACAAGCTTCTTGAAGTCATGACTCACCAAGACACTTGTCATCTTCTTAGGCTATGTTGCTTAAGATGTGTACACATGGAAAGGTGGTTGAATGGAGGGCTCGGATGAGCTCTTATTCAAGAAGGGCATGTGTGGTATTATGGAAAGTATGAAGCCTATAAATACCCCCCATCCATAGTTCATTTTCATGCAAGACCATTTTAAGAGGGGAAACGCTTGTAAAATCAAAACTAGAGAGAGAAAGAAGAGAATTCTAGAGAGGGGAAGTGACTTGGAACCAAGGTAAGGCTTCCAAACTTCTCTATGTTGGTTTATGGTAGTTATATGTTGATTTTATGATAGTTTGATGATGATGGGAAGTCATTTTCCTAAGGGGAAGTGCTGCCCAAATTTTATCAAAATGATAGGGAATAATTTTACAAAGCTAGAACATCAATCCAAAATTAAGAGAAGAGGGTTAGCTTCAAGAAGGTTAATCTTGAACTTTATATAATCTCTTAGTCCTAATGGATTGTATGACCCATGTGATTATGTTTAGGACCTTGGAACATCCAAGAGGATGTTTGATGATATTGACTGAAAGCCCTTGTGGTTGGGAAGTCAAGGGAATCAAAAGAAAAGCAAGAGGAAAGCTTGAGGTGCAAGGTAGTGAACTTACCCTTTATGTGCTTGATGTGGTATGCTTATGTGTTGGTTTGTATCTGTTGTCTGAATGATGTTGTGACATGATGATTATTGCTAGAAATGCTATTTTTAATATGTTTCCCATGGCCATGCATTTTTATACCAAGCATAAAGCGTGATGGCATGTCACTAGTTAACTTAAGTTTATGAAAAACTACATACCATACACTAGCATCCATCTTGTGCATGTATGTGGTAATATTTGCTATTGAGATTCCCCTGAATCTCACCCCTTCGTAACCAACCATTTAGGTCAATCAACAATGGGCAATAATGGCATGAGAAGCAAGAAGAAGTAAGCGGAGAATTATTCTTATTAATGGATGAGACTGTTGATGAATGTATAATTCTTCTATTTTGTAAACTATGTTCTGGATGCCAATGATGCCAAGTATTTAATTATAATGTTTATGGCATGAATAGAAATGTATGAGAATGAATGGGAAAGTGTAATCCCAAGTTATGTATGTCAAAGAAATAAAAAGAATTAAAGTAAAGAGTAGTTAAGGGGCATAACGTAGGTCCTGGGGTAGTGAGTTTGTAGCTTTAGTTTGACCTAGCAAATGAATGAGTTTAGCCACAAGATTTGGCATACTTATAGTACACATCCCAAGATTTAAAATGAGAGTTAGATCACCTCAATTGGATGTGTACAGAAGGAGATACGAATTTTCAAAGTTGAGGTACAGAATCTCAAAGTTCCAGATTTTACCAAATGAACAGTAATATTTATTGATTAAACTGTATGAATTGGTCAAGGATAAGTCCAATAGGATATTTTTCTCTTAAATATATTTCAAAGAGCTTTCTGTAGAATTTTAGAACACCTTAATACGATTTTTGTAGAATTAGTTATGATTTTTCAAAGTTGGACTTGTAATCTGAAATTTAAACAGTGAATAGTAACCCGAGTAATTATGTTGAAATTTTTAATTCACGGGCTTGTGTCGTGATCCGCTTGAACCATAACACTTCCAAACGTGTACTCTGAGGGGCTAAAGGTAGGATGTTTCACTTTTCAAGCATCTTACGGAGCATTTGAAGTTCTTCTCTGGTTAAGCGGTCTCCATCATCGCCTCTTTCCTCAGAGGAGGTGTGGTGGCTCTTTCCATCTCGACGTTGTTGTTGTTTTCCATGGGTTGGCTTTCCATGTAGTTTCCAGCATTCATCTCTGGTGTGGCCTTTCTTGTTACAATGATTGCACCACTTGTTCCCTTTTCTTTTAGAGCTCTCTGATGTCTGGGAACCCCTTGTGACTAAAGCTGAGCCATCAACTGGAGTTTGGTTACCCTGGGTGAGGTGTCTCCGACTTTCTTCGAACTTAACCATACTGAAGACTTCAAATAGGGATGGAAGGGGCTTTAGACCCATAATTCTATCTCTTACTTCTTCAAAAACATCATTCAGGCCCAACAGAAAATCATATGTTCGTCCTTTTTCAACTAACTGCCTGTAGTAATTAGCATCATCAATATTCTTCCAAGGATGTACTTCAAAGAGATCCAATTGCTGCCATATCTTTGTCACAGTACTATAGTACTGTGTTACAGTCAAATTTCCTTGCTTCAGTTCTTTGAGTTGCTTCATTAGGTCCAACAAAGCAGCAGTGTTGTCCAATGTAGAGTAAGTGCGCTTAGCAGCATTCTAGATCTCCTTAGCTGTGCTTGCAAGAAGGTATCCCTCACTAATTTCGAGAGTCATTGAGTTGCATAGCCAAGACATCACCTGATTATTTTCAGTGAACCAGGTGTCAAAATTGGGATCATTATGTGCCGGTTGTTTTGCTTCTCTATTGATATACTTCTCCTTACGCTTCCCACGTAGATACATGAATACACTTTGGGACCATTGGAGATAGTTGCTGCCATTCAGTTTGTGAGCCACCATCATAGCTTGCTGTTCAGTGGCTGTTGTCAAATTTGACACTGAATCAGAGGTTTTAGAAGGGGCTATTGGTGAAGAAGGAGTACCTTGAGTATTTGAGGATGTGCTGGACATAAAAGCCATTGGAATGGTGCCTTTTGTGATGGCATATTGCGAACAGACCCAAAAAGTGGTGGAAAGTCTGATGGATTCATCTTCTAGATGAAGTGCGGTACTGGGATGGTTCTGGCAACGGCGAGTGGGCTTCACGCGCGGAGGTTTGTGACGGCGCATGGGATTCACGCGCTGCTCCGTTGGACACCGGCTTCTGGGGATGCGCCGATCAGAGGATTCCAGTGAGGATTGGAGGGATGGTGTTGGTCACGTCCTGCTCTGGCCTTTAGATCTGAGGGTGCCGGCGTCTCACTCTCTCTCCTCGCTCTCTCTGTTTACGGCAGGGGCTCAGGACTGATCCAAACCCACAGCTCTGATACCATGTCTAAACTATGAATATTTCACTCCATATATTATTCCATATGAGATAGTTACAATATATAGGGTCCGGACGGTGAGAATAATCCAGTTAGAATCATTCAGAAATAAATTACAATCAATGACAGCATACAATCAGGAATTTTATTCTCATGCATAATAACAGACGAGTATCATGGGCTTTCTAACAATTATAAAGCAAGCTTAACGGTTATTTAGTAGCCTGTAACCTACCATGCCAGAAACATTAATGACGAACTGCCGTTGTAACTGCCAAGACACGCAACCGATTTTTTTTCCAACAGCTAGAAGCTCTCCAGCAATAAAGTGATTAGGAATAAGAAATATTCCTAAATAATTAAGGGTAAAAAATGTTAAGGAGAAATAGAAGAATTTTGGTGGAAAATGATTACTATGTTTTTCCAACCCAATTATGGAAATTTGACTAATTAAGAAAAATTGGTAAAAATAATTATGAAAAAATATTTACAAGTCTTGGAAAATTAAGAAAAAATAAGGATAATATCCTTTGAGAATTATATGGGATTATAAAATTGGTTTCATGACCAAATTACCTTAGAGAAATTATAAAGGAATTTAAGGATAATTTAGCCTAATTTAAGGGCTTTTATTTGGAAAATTCCAAATAAATATTTAAGGAGGATAAAATTCCAAGAAAATTCCTATGATATCCCAAGGAGTTATAAGAGATTATGAAATTAAAAGAAGACCCTCAAGTATCCAAGAGTTTTTCCAATTCCTTTAAAAAGTGAAAAAATCACTAAAGAGAAAGAAATTAGTTTTCCTTTTTAATTAATTATTGGGAAATTAATTTTGAGACAAAGAGGGCAATTTGGGAAGATAAAAATGAGGTGAATAGATTGTCGATTTGACAGAAAATAATTATAGAGGCTAGAATACTGTAATTATAGAAAAGAAATTAAACCCAGAGTCAAAGTGCACCGATAAAGCAAGACTAGAGTCTTGCAATTCAAATAGTTCACATATAGCCATGTGTCAAGCCCCTAATGGACAGGATTTGAACTTGCTAAGTGTCACTCCTCAAATGGAGAGGATTTTGACCTTTGGTAATTAATTTCATTTGGATTTAATTAATTATGAAAAAGAAAGTAAGATTAAAGGGGGTAATGACACTTGAATTTGTATTTATGATGGTGGTTGGGATATTTTGGCCCATTAAACAAGCACTCCTCCCCCTAATTTCAAATCTCCATTTTGGTCAAGTGAGAGGAAGAGAGAAAAGTAAGAGTTTGAAGAAGCAAGAGAAAAGCTACTAATTTTGATCACTCAACTAAGGATTCAAGGTTAGTTTTTGGTCTTAAGTTGTTCTTTACTTTGTTTGCTTGAGTTGTAGGGTTGGAAATTATGTTTCTCCTCCTTATTGGGTGCTAGCCGAACTGATTATTGTCACATCCAGTCATATGGCATTTAGGAATAGAGATATTCTTAAATATTTAAAGGCCAAAAAGGACAAGGAGAAATAGAAGATTTATGGTGGAAAATAATTATTATGATTTTCCAAGCCAATTATGGAAATTTGACCAATTAAGGAAGATTGGTCAAGAATAATTATGAAAAATATTTCCAAGACTCAGAAAATTAAGGAAAAATAAGGACAAGGTTCCTTGAGAATTATATGGGGTTATAAAATTGGTTTTATGATCAATTTGCCCTTAGAGAAATTACAAAGGAATTTAAGGGCGATTTAAGCTAGTTTAAGGTCTTTTATTTGGAAAATTCCAAATAAATATTTTTAAGAAGGATAAAATCCTAAGAAAATTTTTATGATGTCCCAAGAAATTATAAGAGATTATGGATTTGAAAGAAGACCCTCAAGTATCCAAGATTTTTCCCAATTCCTCTGAAAAGTGGAAAAATCATTAAAGAGAAAGAAATTAGTTTTTCTTTTTATTTAATTATCGGGAAATTAAATTTGAGACAAAGAGGGAAATTTAGAAAGATAAAAAATAGGAGAATAATTTATGGATCTGACAGAAAATAATTACAGAGGTTAGAGCACTGTAATTATAGAAAAGAAGTTAAACCCGGAGTAAAAGTGCACTGATAAAGTGAAGACTAGAGTCTTGCACTTTACTTGGCCCACAAGTTGCCACTTGTCAAGCCTCTAATGGATGGTAATTAAAGCTTTCTAAGTGTTAAGCCACTAATGGAGAGGATCTTGACTTTTGAAATTAATTTTATTTGGCATTAAGTTAATTAAGAGAGAGGATTAAGACTAAGTAAGTATTTGACACATGACATAGGATTAATGTTGGTTGGTGAGATATTTTTCGCCTTAATCAACACACTCCTCCCCCGTAATCAGATTTCATTTCGGCCTAGAGGGAAAAGAGAGAGAGAAAGAGTGATTTTGTGAAGGGATCAAGCAAAAGCAAGCTACTTTGATTTTCCAACTAAGATTCAAGCTTAGTAAGTTGTTCTAAGATATTCCTTGCTTTATTTTATTGAGTTGTATGGTTGGAAAAATCACCTCTTGTCCCTTCTTGTTGCTAGCTGAAATGGGTATAGTATAGGGAAGGAGGTTTTGTTAAACAAAGTTAGGATATTATGAATCAAGGTGGTTTCAAGTGGTTTAGTGTTGTTTTGAAAGGTTTTTAATGGTTGAACTCCAAGAAGTATGATTCGGCCAAGACCAAAACTAAACCTTAGGATTTGTTTTCAAAGTTTTGAGGCTTCTATTGTGTTCAAAATAGAAAATAGTGTAGGGTAAACCTAAAGAACAAGTGTTGGAGGCCATAGAATCAAAGTTGAAATTTTTAGATAATGAACCCTAATGGTTCAGTCAGTTAAAAATTGAAAGAAGAAATTTTATTTTGTTAAATCCAAGTAGATATTTTGAATCTACATGAAAAATCATGTAGGAATGAGTCAAGAGGGAATATTTAGGGTTTATAGAAACCAACTCTAAAAATTCAAGAACAAAGGTGGAAGCTTTAAGGGGTTTAGGAGTTACTTGAGTTATGTTGTTGAATTTTTTTGTGGAATGGTTGATGATTCTTGCTACTCTTTTTGTGGATTTCCATGTTAGGGTTTAGAATTTGTAGAAGCAAGAAAGAAAGAAAAGAAAATCAAAGAGCATTGGATCAAGGTAGTAAGATTTAATTGACCTTAATGTTGAGTATTGCATTGATTGCTATGCAATTTCATGTGCTATTATATGGTTGAACTAAATGATGATGAAGATGATGATTGTGTAGCTATACTCCTTGCTTTATTTGCCTTGGCTATTGCATGTTAGAGTGTTACATGTATGAGGTAAAGTAGTTCCCTATTAATAGCAAAAGGTTAGAATACTTGTAATTGATGCATGTTGATGTTTTGGTTGATTGATCTTGCTACTGGGATTTTATTGAAATCTCATCCCCCATATGTAATGAATATTTTAGGAACTGAATCATCAAAAAGGGAGGCTGTGAATCCAAGGATTAATATGGTGATGAGCCATGAGGAAATATTTATATATTTGGTTATGTATAAATATCAATGGTTGGTGCTGTAATCCCTAAATAGGATGTCAATTTAGAACCATGTTTTATTAAGTTACCAAATGAATTTCTACATGAAATTTTGATATTCTTAAATTTGACATCATGAGCTTCAAATTGATAGGTAGCACGTTAAAAATGGCCAACTACACGATTTGTAATGATTTTTCAAAGTTAAGGTTCAAAATATCAAAAAAGGATTTTTGTCAAATGGACAGAGGTGACTTTCACAAAAACCTGACACTTTTCCAAATGGAATTGGTTCACAAGATTATTTTTTGTCAAAAGAGAATTCAAATATATTTTTATAGAATTTTGAACCACTCCATTTCAATTTTTCTAGATTAAGTTATGAATTTTTTAAGTTGGGTCAGAAAACTGGATTTTACCTGATGAACAGTAAAAATCCGAAAATCAGCGTTTTTCATGGATTTTTGAGCCCAAGACCATCCAAGGTGGTCTAAAATGGTTTTAAGTAAACCCTAAGTTGATCCGATAGTAAGGTATGACATTTTTAGTATCAGATCGGAGGTTCTGGCATAGGATAGAACGCTCTGCTTAGTTAATATGTCAGTTAGAAGGAAAATTAACAAATTGTTGCTGGAGAATACTACTGTCTACTTATTGAATGGTTCGGTTATTATAATTTAGGACGGAGTAGAATGGCTTGTTGTGGCCACAATAGTGACTCAGAGAGTTCAATTA